ACCACCCCAAAACTCATCCCAAACACACCCTAAAACTCGCCCCAAAACTACCCCAAAACTATCCCAAACTCACCCCAAAACACACCCCAAAACTCACCCCAAAACCCCCCAAAACTACCCCAAAACCCACCCCAAAACTCACCCCAAAACTACCCCAAAACCCAGCCCAGAGCAGGTCTTGAGGAGCATCCAGGGGGTCCTGAGGAGCACCCAGGGGGTCTTGGGGAACATTTGGGGGTCCTGAGCAAAATCTTAGGGGTCTCAGGCAGCACCCAGGAGGTCCTAGAGGACCTTGAGGGACATCTTGGGGGTCTTGGGGAACATCTTGGGGGTCTTGGGCAGCACCCAGAGGGTCCTGGGGGGTCTTGAGGAACATCCTGGGGGCTTTGGGGAATATCTTGGGGGTCTTGGGGAACATTTTGGGGTCTTGGGCAGCACCCAGGGGGTCCCAAGGGGCACCCAGGGCGTCTTGGGGAACATTTTGGGGGCCTTGAGTGGCACCCAGGGGGTCTTGGGGGATCTTGAGGAACACCCAAGGGGTCTTGGAGAACATCTTGGGGGTCTTGGGCAGAGCTCAGGCGGTTCTGGGGGGTCTTGAGGAGCATCCAGGGGGTCTTGGGGAACATTTTGGGGAACATCTTGGGGGTCTTGGGCAGCACCCAGGGGGTTCTGGGGGACATCTTGGGGTCTTGGGGAACATCTTGAGGATCTTGGGCAGCACCTGGAGTGTCCTGGGCTGTCCTGAGGAGCACCCAGAGGGTCCCAGGGAGCCCCCAGAGCCCCTCAATGGAACAGGATGGGTGCCCCCCCGCCCAGGGGTGAGCCCCCTCCCCAAAATCCCCAAACCCCCCCACCCTCAGGAGATCGGCGACGTGGAGAACTGGGCCAGGAGCATCGAGCTGGACATGAGGACCATCGCCACCGCCCTCGAGTACGTCTACAAGGGGCAGCTGCAGCCCTCCAGCACCTGAGGGACCCCCAAAACCCCCCGCGACCCCCCAGAAACCCCCAGACCCAAATAACCAGTGGGGGTCTCACCATGCTGCCGCCCCCAGCATTGACAGCAATGGAATAAAGAGGGGGGTGTGGAATAAAGGGGGGGGGCACAGGGGGTGTGGAATAAAGGGGGGGGGGGGGGTCAGGCCGGGCCAGGGGGACCCTGGCACAGCCCCCCCCCCCCCCCAAATCCCCCCCTAAGCCCCCTCATCCTCTTTAGTACTTACCGAGGCTCTGAGGCTGCTTGATTGGGGACAAAGGGGCCATTTTTTGGGTGCTCGGAGCCCCGGGGGGGGTCCCCCTCATCCGGGGGGTGGGAGGGGTTTAATTCCATCATGGGGGGGGGGCGTGTTTGTTTTGGGGTGATTTTCCCCCATTGTGGGGGTTCAGGGCCCATTTTGTGGTGATTTTCCCCATTGAAGGGTCAGGGCCCATTTTGGGGTGATTTTCCCCATTAGGGGTATCAGGCTCCATTTTGGGGTGATTTCCCCCCATTGAAAGGGTGTTAAGGCCCATTTGGGGTGATCTTTCCCCATTGGGGGGACTCAGAGCCCATTTTGGGGTGATTTCCCCCCATTTAGGACTCAGGGCCCATTTGGGGGTGATTTTCCCCCATTGTGGGGGTTTCAGGTCCCATTTTGGGGTGATTTTTCCCCATTGAGGAGTTCAGGGCTCATTTTCCTGTAGTGGGGGGAGGTCAGGGCCCATTTTCAGGGCCCCATTTTGGGCTGATTTTCCTCCATTTTGGGGTGATTTTCCCCCATTGTGGGATCACGGCCCCATTTTGGGGTGATTTCCCCAAAGTTGCTCACCCCCCCTCCCCCCCCCGGGGATCTGTGGCCGTGCCTGGCACGGGGAGGAGCGGCCTTGGCCCCCCCCCCCCGCCGCCCCCCCCGCCCCAAATCCCCCCGGACCCCTCCCCTGCTCCCCGCCCCCCCCCGGCTCACACGGCCCCGAGGCCGCGGCCGGAGCAGCGCCCGCAGCCCCACAGCCCCCCAGGTACGTGGGGACCCCCCCTCTGCACCCCCAGGTACGTGGGGACCCCCTGAGGGACTTAGGGACCCCCGGAGGGAATTGGGGACCCCCCCCTCTGCAACCCCGAGGGTTGTGGGGACCCCCCGAGGGAATTGGAGACCCCCCTCTGCAACCTTGAGACAGTTGGGGACCCCCACTCTGTCCCAGTAAGGAGGTGGGGACCCCCCCCTTTGCCCCCCCAGAGGGACTTGGGGACTCCCCCTCAGCCCCCGAAGGATTTGGGGACCCCTCCTCTGTCCCCAGGAAGGATTTGGGGAGCCCCCTCCCCCCTCTGCACCCCCCCCATACCGGGGGTCTCCTGTTTGGGGGGGCTCTGGGAACACAGGGCGGACCCCCGGGGTCACCCTCAAACGCCAGGGTGAGGGGTAAAGGGGGGTCCTGAGACCCCAAATCCCTCTGGATGGGGGTCCTGACACCCCAGATTCCTCCGGATGGGGGTCCTGACACCCCAAAGCCCCCGAGGGGGGTCCTGGAGGGAGGGCACAGGACAAACCCCGGGTGTCCCCCCAAATCCGATGGTGGGGAGGGGGGTCCCTGCCGCCCCTTTGGGGGTCCGACCCCCAAACCAACAATGGGGGAGTCCCGACCCCCCAAAAACACCCCGGATGGGGGTCCTGAGACCCCAAAGCCCCCCCCAGGGGGGTCCTGAGACTGCAAGGTCCCCCGGATGGGGGTCCTGAGACCCCCAAATCCTCACTAAAGGGGTCCTGACACCCGAACCCCCCCCATGAGAGTCCTGAGACCCCAATTCCCCCATGGGGGTCCCGCAGGGGGGGCCCGGGGCCGTGGGGGGGTCACAGGGCCCCCATGGGCCCCCTCCCCACTCGGGCACAGCCGGGCCGGGGGTCCCGGGCCGGGGGTCCCGGGCTGGGCAGGGTCTGTCCCGGGGGTCCCGGGTCGCCGCTGCCCCGGGCGGGGGGATCGGGCCCGAGGGGACCCCCCCGGAGCCCCCCCGTGCCCGGCGGTGACGCGGCCCCGTTAATCCGGGCCTGGCCCGGGCCAGAGCGGGACACGGCGGGGCTGGGGGGGAGCTCCCGGCTCGGCCCGGCCCGGGAGGGGCTTTGGGGGGACCCCTCCCCACCCGACAGGGCCGGGACCCCCCCCCAATCGGGCACCCGTGGGGACACAGGAGGCGGAGCCAGGACCGGGGCCAGGCACGGGTCAGTCCTGAGGGGTCAGTCCCGAGTGACCGCTCTGTCCATGGGGAGAGACCCCCGTGCTCGGGCTAGGGTGGGGGGCTGGGGGTCCTGGCGGGGGTCCCATGTGTCCCTGATGTCCCCCCAGGCCATGTGGCTGTACCTGGCACTGGTGGCAGTGCTGGCACTGGCAGCGTCACACAGGGTGGGGGTCTCTCTCTCGGGGGTGTCTCTGGCAGGGATCCCTGATGTCCCCTGTCCCCGCAGGCCATGCGGCTGTACCTGGCACAGGGTGGGGGTCACACGTGTCCCCTGCCCTCCCAGGCCATGTTCCTGTACCTGGCACTGGCAGTGTCACACGTGTCCCCTGTCCCCCAGGCCATGTTCCTGTACCTGGCACTGGCAGTGTCACACGTGTCCCCTGCCCTCCCAGGCCATGTTCCTGTACCTGGCACTGGCAGTGTCACACGTGTCCCCTGTCCCCCAGGCCATGTTCCTGTACCTGTTGCTCCTGGCCCTGCTCTGGGCCCTGGTGGCACTGCCAGTGTCACACAGGGTTGATGTCCCTGTCCTCCAGGCCATGTTCCTGTACCTGGCACTGTCAGTGTCACACACGGCTGATGTCCCCTATGTCCCCAGGCCATGTTCCTGTACCTGTCGCTCCTGGCCCTGCTCTGGGCGCTGCTGCGGGACAGGGTGGGGGTCTCTCTCTCGTGTGTCCCTGATGTCCCCTGTGTCCCCAGGCCATGCTGCTGTACCTGTCGCTCCTGGCCCTGCTCTGGGCGCTGCTGTGGCTGCTGCGGGACCGGCGCACGCTGCCGTCGGTGCGGGACAAGCACGTGTTCATCACGGGCTGCGACAGCGGCTTCGGGCGCCTGCTGGCGCGGCGCTTGGCCCGCCAGGGCTACCGGGTGCTGGCGGCGTGCCTGACCCCGCAGGGCGCCGAGAGCCTGCGCGGGGACACCCCCGGGGGACACCTGAGGACCGTCCTGCTCGATGTCACCCGCTCCGACAGCATCCGCCGCGCCGCCGAGTGGGTGCACAGGGAGGTGGGGGACAAAGGTGAGGGACGGGAAAGAGGGGAGGGGGATTGGGGAAGGGGGAAAGGGGCTGGGGGCTTCGGGAGGGGCTGGGTGCACAGGGAGGTGGGGGACAAAGGTGAGGGACGGGAAAGAGGGGAGGGGGATTGGGGAGAGGGGGAAAAGGGTCTGGGGGCTTCGGGAGGGGCTGGGTGCACAGGGAGGTGGGGGACAAAGGTGAGGGACGGGAAAGAGGGGAGGGGGATTGGGGAGAGGGGAAAAGGGTCTGGGGGCTTCGGGAGGGGCTGGGTGCACAGGGAGGTGGGGGACAAAGGTGAGGGACGGGAAAGAGGGGAGGGGGATTGGGGAGAGGGGGAAAAGGGTCTGGGGGCTTCGGGAGGGGCTGGGTACACAGGGAGGTGGGGGACAAAGGTGAGGGACGGGGCGGAAAGAGGGGAGGGGGATTGGGGAGGGGCTGGGGGCAAGTGGGAGAGGGGGAAAAGGGGATGGAGGTTGGGGAGGGGAGAAAAGGGTCTGGGGGATTGGGGACAAGGTGGAGTCTTTGAGAGAGGGGAGGGAATGGCTCTGAGGGATTGGGGAGGGGGAAAAAGGGTCTGGGGGCTTGGGGAGGGGCTGTAGGGCAGGGCGGACGTGGAGGGACAAGGAGCAAAGGAGGGGACAGGGGACACAGGGGATGTGGAGACCCCAAGCAGGGGCTGGGACATGGGGGGGCACAAGGACCTGGGGAGGGGCTGTGGGGGATGTGGGGACACTCTGGGGGTCCCAGGGGACACTGGGGGTCCCATTTGGGAGTCCCCCACCCTCCATGTGTCCCCCAGGACTGTTTGGGCTGGTGAACAACACGGGCATCGCCAACCCCACTGACCCCAGGGCACACGGGGACACTCTGGGGGTCCCAGGGGACACTGAGGGTCCCAGGGGACACACTGGGGGTGCCATTCTGGGGTCCCCCCAGGGCTGTTTGGGCTGGTGAACAACGCCGGCATCGCCAACCCCATCGGGCCCACGGAGTGGATGGACATCGAGGATTTCCGGCGCGTGCTGGCCGTGAACGCGCTGGGCGCCATCGAGGTGACGCTGCAGCTGCTGCCGCTGCTGAAGCGCGCGCGGGGCCGCGTGGTGAACACGTCCAGCGTGCTGGGCCGCATCTCGGCCAACGGCGGCGGCTACTGCATCTCCAAATACTGCATCGAGGCCTTCTCGGACAGCCTCAGGTGGGCACCGAGCCCTGGGCACCCACTGAGGGCCGTGGGCATGGAGTGAGAGCCCTGGGCATGGACTGAGAGCTCTGGGCATGGACTGAGAGCCATGGGTATGGACTGAGATCAATGGGCATGGACTGAGAGCCCTGGGCACCCACTGAGGGCCGTGGGCATGGAGTGAGAATGGTCTGAGGGCCCTGGGCATGGACTGAGCCCTCTGGGCATGGACTGAGAGCCCCGGGCATGGACTGAGAGCTCTGGGCATGGACTGAGAGCTCTGGGCATGGACTGAGAGCTCTGGGTATGGACTGAGATCAATGGGCATGGACTGAGAGCCCTGGGCATGGACTGAGAGCCATGGGCACCCACTGAGGGCCGTGGGCATGGACTGAGAGCCCTGGGCATGGACTGAGATCAATGGGCATGGACTGAGAGCCCTGGGCACCCACTGAGGGCCGTGGGCATGGAGTGAGAATGGTCTGAGGGCCCTGGGCATGGACTGAGCCCTCTGGGCATGGACTGAGAGCCCCGGGCATGGACTGAGAGCTCTGGGCATGGACTGAGAGCCCCGGGCATGGACTGAGAGCTCTGGGCATGGACTGACCCCTCTGGGTGTGGACTGAGAGCTCTGGGTATGGACTGAGATCAATGGGCATGACTGAGAGCCCTGGGCATGGACTGAGAGCTCTGGGTATGGACTGAGAGCTCTGGGCATGGACTGAGGGCCATGGGTGTGGATTGACCCCTCTGGGCACAGACTGACCCCTCTGGGTGTGGACTGAGAGCCCTGGGCATGGACTGAGGCCTCCTGGTTTTGCCCTGACCCCTTTGGCCACCCCTCTAGCCACCCCTGTGACTCCTCTGACCACCCCTGACCATGGCCTGACCCCTCTGACCCCCCTGTGCCCCTCCCCAGGCGGGACATGCGGCACTTTGGGGTCAAGGTCAGCGTTGTGGAGCCGGGGTTCCTCAAGAACCCTCTGACCACATTCTGACCCCTCTGGCCACCCCATGACCCCTCTGCCCACCCTGTGACACCCCTGCCCACCCCATAACCCCTCTGTGACCCCCCTGTGCCCCTCCCCAGGCGGGACATGCGGCACTTTGGGGTCAAGGTCAGCATTGTGGAGCCGGGGTTCTTCAAGACCAACGTGACGGACCTGGACTCGCTGGAGGCGTCGCTGCGGCAGCGCTGGGAGCGCCTGGAGCCGGCCACGCGCAGCAGCTACGGGGAGCACTTCCTGCCCCAGTGTGAGCCCCCAGCCCCCCTTTCCCGACCAGCTGCGCACCCCCCGGACCCCAAAATTCATCGTCTCACCCTGCCTCAGTTTCCCTTTTCCTGCATTCCCCAAACCCCAAAATTCAGCGTCTCATCCCTGCCTCAGTTTCCCTTTTCCTGCATTCCCCAAACACCAAAATTCAGTCTCATCCCTGCCTCAGTTTCCCTTTTCCTGCATTTCCCAAATCCCAAAATTTGGCATCTCACCCTGCCTCAGTTTCCCTTTTCCTGACCAACTGTCCACCCCTCACAGACCCCAAAATTCATCATCTCACCCTGCCTCAGTTTCCCTTTTCCTGCATCCCCCAAACCCCAAAATTTGGCATCTCACCCTGCCTCAGTTTCCCTTTTCCTGCATCCCCCAAACCCCAAAATTCAGAGTCTCATCCCTGCCTCAGTTTCCCCTTTCCTGACCCTTCCCCACCTCCCAAGACCCCAAAATTGAGCATCTCATCCTTGCCTCAGTTTCCCTTTTCCTGACCCTTTTTCCACCTCCCTCCTCCCCTTTCCTGACCCTTTTCCACTTCTCAAAGTTCAGCATCTTTCCCCTGCCTCAGTTTCCCTTTTCCTGACCCTTTTCTACCCCCAAAATTCATCATCTCTCCCTGCCTCAGTTTCCCTTTTCCTGCATCCCCCAAACCCCAAAGTTCATTATCTCACCTTGCCTCAGTTTCCCCTTTACCGACCCTTTTCCACCCCTCACAGATCCCAAATTTCAGCATCTCTTCCCTGCCTCAGTTTCCCTTTCCTGACCCTTTTCCCTGCCTTTCAGCCCCCCAAAGTTTCCCTTTTCTTGCACTCTCCACTCCTGACCTTTTTCCACCTCCCCAGACCCCAAAGTTCAGCATCTCACCCCTGCCTCAGTTTCCCCTTTCCTGACCCCCCACCTCTCACCTCCCCTTTCCTGATCCTTTTCCCTGCCTCAGTTTCCCTTTTCCTGTATCCCCCAAACCCCAAAATTCAGCATCTCGCCTCTGCCTCAGTTCCCCCTGCAGACCCTTTTCCTGCATCCCCCAAATTCCACAATTTCACCCTCCCTGTCCCTTTTTGTCCCCCCAGACCTGCGCGTGCAGCGCCTGCTGCTGTCCCTGCTGTGTGACCCCGACCCTTTTCCACCTTTCACTTCCCCTTTCCTGACCCTTTTCCCTGCCTCAGTTTCCCTTCTCCTACATCCCCCAAAGTTCAGCATTTCACCCTGCCTCAGTTTCCCCTCCTGACCCTTTTCCTGCATCCCCCAAACCCCGAGTGTCACAATTTCACCCCTGCATCCCTGCCTCAGTTTCCCTTATCCTGACCCTTCCCCACCTCTCCAGACCCCAAAATTCAGCATCTCATCCTTGCCTTAATTTCCCCTTTCCTAACCCTTTTCCACCTCTCACAGACCCCAAAATTCAGTGTCTCACCCTGCCTCAGTTTCCCCTTTCCTGACCATTTTCCCTGCCTCAGTTTCCCTTCTCCTACATCGCCCAAACCCCAAATTTCACAATTTCACCCCTGCCTCAGTTTCCCCTTTCCCACCACCTCCCAGCTGTCCCCAAACCCCCCCTGACCCCTGTCCCTGTCCCTTTTTGTCCCCCCCAGACCTGCGGGTGCAGCGCCTGCTGCTGTCCCTGCTGTGTGACCGGGACCTGTCCCATGTCCTTGTGCCCCCCAGCTGTCCCACTGCCCCCTGACCCTTGTCCCTCACACCTGTCCCCAAACCCCCCTGACCCTTTTTTGTCCCCCCAGACCTGCGGGTGCAGCGCCTGCTGCTGTCCCTGCTGTGTGACCGGGACCTGTCCCATGTCCTTGTCCCCCCCACCTGTCCCCAAAGCCCCCTGACCCCTGTCCCTGTCCCTTTTTCTGTCCCCCCCAGACCTGTGCGTGCAGCGCCTGCTGCTGTCCCTGCTGTGCGACCGGGACCTGTCCCATGTCCTTGTGCCCCCCAGCTGTCCCACTGCCCCCTGACCCTTGTCCCTCACACCTGTCCCCAAACCCCCCCTGTCCCTTTTTTGTCCCCCAGACCTGCGGGTGCAGCGCCTGCTGCTGTCCCTGCTGTGTGACCGGGACCTGGCCAAGGTGACGCGCTGCATGGAGCACGCGCTGCGGGCGCAGCACCCGCGCAGCCGCTACAGCGCGGGCTGGGACGCCAAGCTGCTCTGGCTGCCGGCCTCCTACCTGCCCTCGGCCCTCGTGGACCTGGCCCTGGCCCTCATCCTGCCCAAGCCGGCCCTGGGCGGCCGCTGAGAGACCCCAGACCCAAATTAAACCCACCCAGGATGGGGAATAAATGCCCCAAGGATTGGGAATAAACGCCCCAAACTCACCTGTCCTTGCTCTGTCTAAGGTTAAAAGGGGATTTGGGGACACGGAGGTGGCACTTGGGGCATCACAGACCCGGCCCTGGCCGTCATCCTGCCCAAGCCGGCCCTGGGCGGCCGCTGAGAGACCCCAGACCCAAATTAAACCCACCCAGGATGGGGAATAAATGCCCCAAGGATTGGGAATAAACACCCCAAACTCACCTGTCCTTGCTCTGTCTAAGGTTAAAAGGGGATTTGGGGACACTGAGGTGGCACTTGGGGCATCACAGACCCGGCCCTGGCCGTCATCCTGCCCAAACCCGTCCTGGGCAGCCGCTGAGAGACCCCAGACCCAAATTAAACCCCCCCAAGAGTGGGGAATGAGCCCCCCAAGGGTGGGGAATCAATCCCCAAAGGGTGGCGAACAAACCTTGCGAACTCACCCATCCTTGCTCTGTTCATGGTCAGAAGGGGATTTGGGGACACTGAGGTGGCACTTGGGGCTCCATGGACCTGGCTCTGGCCCTCATCCTGCCCAAGCCCACCCTGGGCAGCCGCTGAGAGACCCCAGACCCAAAATAAACCCACCCGAGATTGGGGAATCAATCCCCCAAAGGATGGGGAGTAAATGCCCTGAACTTGTCTGTCCTTGCTCTGCTCGTGGTTAAAAGGGGATTTGGGGACATGGAGGTGGCACTTGGGGTGTCATGGAGCTGGCCCTGGCCCTCATCCTGCCCAGGCTGGCCCAGAGCCCCCAGACCCAAATTAAACCCCCTCGGAGTAGGGAATCAATCCCCCAAAGGATGGGGAATAAATGCCCTGAACTTGTCTGTCGTGCATCTGCTCATGGTTAAAAGATTTGGGGACACCGAGGTGGCACTTGGGGCTCATGGAGCTGGCCCTGGCCCTCATCCTGCCCAGGGAGGCCACTGAGAGACCCCAGACCCAAATTAACCCCCCCGGGGTGGGGAATAAACGCCCTGAACTCGCCTGTCCCTGTTTTCACTCAGCTCGGGGTGATTTGGGGACACCGAGGTGGCACGTGAGGATTTGGGGACATGGAGGTGGCACTGAGGGACACTGAGGATTTGGGGACACCGAGGTGGCACTGAGGGACACTGAGGATTTGGGGACACCGAGGTGGCACTCAGAGCCCCCAGAGCCACCAGGAGCAGTCCCTTGACCCCATGGGGTCAATGGGGGACCCCAAAACTCCAGGATGGAGCCCCCAACCCCATTAGAGACCCCCAAACCCCACGAGGGTCCTTGTCCCACCCAGGACGGACCCCCCCCACCCCAAAGACCCCCCAAAGGGACCCCCCCCAAAGCCACCAGAGACCCCCCAAACCCCCCAATCCCACTCATCTCTCCAGAAGCTTTTCCTCTTTATTGCAAACCCGGGGGTCCCCAAAGCCCCCCAGGACCCCCAAAGGGGGGGGTGGCACTTGGGCCCTGCTGGGACCCCCGGAGCCCCCACGGGACCCCCAGGGGGGGCAGGAATTTGGGGAGGGGGCTACACGGGGGCTACATGACCTCGTAGCCGCTGCGGATCCCCCGCATGAGGCAGCAGGAGAAGAGAACGCCCAGGACCTGCGGGGACAGCGACGGTGACAGTGGGGACAGTGGGGACAGTGGGGACAGTGGGGACAGGGACAATGGGGACAGGGACCTGCGGGGACAGCGACGGTGACAGTGGGGACAGTGGGGACAGTGGGGGGACATGGGGGGGGACAGGGACCTGCGGGGACAGCAACGGTGACAGTGGGGACAGTGGGGACAGTGGGGACAGGGATGGGGACAGGGACAATGGGGACAGGGACCTGCGGGGACAGGGACGGTGACAGTGGGGACAATGGGGACAGTGGGGACAGGGATGGGGACAGTGGGGACAGGGACAATGGGGGGACATTGGGGACAGGGATAGGGACACTGGGGGGACAATGGGGACAGGGACATGGGGGGACAAGGACGGTGACAGTGGGGACAGTGGGGACAGGGACAGTGAGGGGGACATTGGGGAGAGGGATGCTGACAGTGGGGACAGGGATGGGGACAGTGGGGATGGTGTAGGGGGACAGGGACGGTGGCAACGGGGACAAGGAGGACAGGGATGGGGACATCGGAGGGACAGGGCTGGTGACAATGGGGACAGGGACATGGCGGGGACAGGGACAATGGGGACAGAGGGGACAGGTAGAGTGACAATGGGGGGGACAGGGAGAGTGACAGTGGGGGCAGGGACATGGGGGGACAAGGACAAATGGGGGGACAGGGACGGTGACAATGGGGGGAGACAGGGACACTGGGGGGGGGGGGGTCAGTTTGACATGGAAGGGGTCTGAGCCCTCAAACTGAGGAGGGGTCTCAGCCCCATATTGGGGGGGGGTCACTCCAAATTTGGGGGGGTCTCAGATCCACTGAGGAAGGGTTCACCCCTAACTCAGGTTTCCCCCACATTTGGGGGGATCTCATCCCTTTCTGGGGGGTCCCAGCCCCAAATTTGGGGGTCCTCATCCCTCTCAGGAAGGGGTCTCAGCCCCTGTTTGGGGGGTTCGCAGCCCCCACATTTGGGGGGATCTCAGCCCCATTTTTTGGGGGTATCCCAGCCCCTATTTGGGGAGTCCCAGCCCCATTTTTTGGCGGTATCCCAGCCCCTATTTGGGGGATCTCAGCCCCATTTTTTTGGGGGTATCCCAGCCCCTATTTGGGGAGTCCCAGCCCCATTTTTTGGGGGTATCCCAGCCCATATTTGGGGAGTCCCAGCCCCATTTTTTGGGGGGTCTCTCACCTCGAAGAAGGCGATGCCCAGCGCCACGGCCGCCAGCACCAGCACGTTCCTCTTGACCCAGGCCTCGAGGCTGGGCAGGCACCCCTGGCATGGGGGGCACAGGGGGGTCAGGGGGGCTCAGGGACCCCCAAAGGGGCCATGTCAGGAATTGGGGAGGGGTCTCACCTCAGCGAACACGGTGCTGGGGGTCGGGTGGACGTTGCAGGCGGGGCCGGGGTGGCGGCAGCACGAGGCGGGCACGGAGTCGTTGGCACCGAAGGGCGCCACGCCCGCCCAGTCGGTGAAATTGTTCACCCCGCAGCAGGAAAACTGCCCAGAAACGGGTCAGGAACGGTGGGGAGGGGTCCTGGGGCAGCCCCCTCCCCAAATTGGGGTCACCCCCAGGCTGGAATCCACCCAGGTGCAGCCCCCTCCCCAAACTGGGGGTGAAGTGGGGTCACCCCCTGCTCAGCTCCTGCTGGAATCAACCCAGGAGGGGTCCTGGAGCAGCCCCCTCCCCAAATTGGGGTGACCCCCATGCTGGAATCCATCCTGGAGCAGCCCCCTCCCCAAATTGGGGTGACCCCCATGCTGGAATCCATCCTGGAGCAGCCCCCTCCCCAAATTGGGGTCACCCCCATGCTGGAATCCATCCTGGAGCAGCCCCCTCCCCAAATTGGGGTCACCCCCATGCTGGAATCCATCCTGGAGCAGCCCCCTCCCCAAATTGGGGTCACCCCCATGCTGGAATCCACCCAGGAGCAGCCCCCTCCCCAAATTGGGGTGACCCCTATGCTGGAATCCACCCAGGAGGGGTCCTGGAGCAGCCCCCTCCCCAAATTAGGGGTGAATTGGGGCTGACCTCCATGCTGGAATCCATCCAGGAGTAAGGAGCAGCCCCCTCCCCAAATTGGGGGTGAATTAAAGGTGACCCCCATGCTGGAATCCATCCTGGAGCAGCCCCCTCCCCAAATTAGGGGTGAATTGGGGCTGACCCCCATGCTGGAATCCATCCAGGAGTAAGGAGCAGCCCCCTCCCCAAACTGGGGGTGAATTAAAGGTGACCCCCACGCTGGAATCCATCCTGGAGCAGCCCCCTCCCCAAATTAGGAGTGACCCCTATGCTGGAACCCACCCAGGAAGGGGTTCTGGAGCAGCCCCCTCCCCAAATTAAGGGAGACCCCAGACTCACCTCCTGCTGGAACCCATCCAGGGCGGCGGCCAGGGACGGGTCCTGCTCGTAGCTCCTCACGGCCTCCCAGAGCCCCTCCTGCACCAGCCCGTGCACCTGGGGGGGCACCGGGGGGTCACGGGGGGGGGCAGGGACCCCCGGGGGTGGGGAGGGGTCGGGGACCCCCAGAGAGGGGAGGGAGAGGGGGAGGGGGAGGGGGAGGGGAAGGGGAGGGAAGGGGAGGGAAGGGAAGGGAAGGGAAGGGAAGGGAAGGGAAGGTTCCGGGAAGGGAAGGGGAGGGAAGGGAAGGGAAGGGAAGGGAAGGGAAGGGAAGGGAAGGGAAGGGAAGGGAAGGGAAGGGAAGGGAAGGGAAGGGAAGGGAAGGGAAGGTTCCGGGAAGGGAAGGGGAGGGAAGGGAAGGGAAGGGAAGGGAAGGGAAGGGAAGGGAAGGGAAGGGAAGGGAAGGGAAGGGAAGGGAAGGTTCCGGGGAGGGAAGGGAAGGGAAGGGAAGGGAAGGTTCCAGGAAGGGAAGGTTCCGGGAAGGGAAGGGGAGGGAAGGGAAGGGAAGGGAAGGGAAGGGAAGGGAAGGGAAGGGACCCCCACCCACCTTGTGCCTGAAGACGTAGCCGGTGATGGCGGCGGCGATCTCCACCAGGAAGATGAGGCTGAGCAGGACAGCGAACTGGGGGGGCACGGGGGGGGGGGGTCACAGAGGGGTCTGGGGGGTATCAGGGGGGTCTCGGGGGGTTTTGGCAGCTCTGGAGGGGTCGCAGAAGGGTCTGGGGGACTGGGGGTGCTGGGGAGGGGTCGCAGCTGAGGTTCAGGGGCAGGGCGGGGGGCAAAGGAGAGGTTAGGGGGGGTCCTAGTGGGGATTAAGGAGGGGCATGGGGGGGTCACAGGGGGGCTTATGGGGGGGGTCAGGGTGGGGGTCGGGTCATGGTGGGGAGTCACAATAGGGGGGTCTCGATAAAGGGAGGGTCACGGAGAGGAAATCAAGTTGGGGGGGGGCACAATGAGGGGCTG